TGGGGATCGGTATATGTTATTAATATTAGAAATAATTTTCGCTGATAATGCAGGCATCATGATCGTTGCTAAATGAAGAAGGTACAATAATACAGAAAATTCTTGGACAGGCAAAGGGCGTTGAGTTTTTTTAAAAGTACATTATACCTAATTATTATGGTCTGTCTGTACTTATTTAATAGGCAGTATTAGAAGTATGTAAAAATGTATTATTTTATTAGGTAGGTCATGCAATATCCAAGTTGTTCTGGTCTCCGTAATAAACGGCCCGGTCAAAGCGTCAGAGACGGATACATGTCAGGTTCTACTGGGGTCAAAAACTTTTCAATATGGCCGATCCAAGACGGTCGCTATACAAAATTGAGTTTGCTGAATCTATCCAACTGTCGATTATGTACGGGTTGAGTCTTGTGAAATATTTTCGATATGACTTGAAGCGATCATACCAACTACCCTGCTCCTCCTCCTACCTAACGAAATGTAACCAAATTTTTTTTTCTGAATTATTATCTGCATTTGTAGCTTGTAGTTAGAAAACAGTCAATAGCCTAATTGGTGGTGCGGTGCACGCTCGGATTCGGACGTGCTCCACTACACAATAAGAATTATAATAATTCGCGACCCGCGCGGCAATAGCCGCTGCACGTAATTGACTATGGGTTCTCAGCAACTCATAGCCAACGAACTGTTGGCGTTTATACAACACACCATAGATACCATGGACGAAGTCAGCATCGTGCAGATCTGCAAGTCAAATTTCAAAGAAGAAGAGATTTGCAGTGGCAAGGCGCTGCTTTTCCGGACGTTTGGCAAAGCCGAGCAGATGCCGTCTCGTCGGAGAGATGGAGGAGTGAAGAGTCTCCAGGACATCATTACGTTGTTCAAGGAGACCGACCCAGACGACGTGCCTGCATTCGTGGCGAAGGAGCTGCATAAGCTGCCCCCTGTCACGTTCGACCACGTCGACGTCACCAGGCTGCTGAAGGACATCACGTCCCTAAAAGCAAGCCTTGCTGAAGTTCAGTGTAAGTTGGAGGCCTCAGACAACACCATCAGTGAGTTGCGTGCCCAAGTTGCATTACTTAGTAGTGCGGCTTCGGTAAGTAGTAGGCCTGCAACGTGAACACTTGTCGCGGGGCGCAAAATGCTTCTTTCAGCAGTTTTAAGTCGGCTGACACGCATGTGTCACCGACCTCTGGCGCTGTTGCCGCGCGCGTATCCCCGCACCCCGCCCCGCCGGAGACGACCCCTTCACGTGATTACGCAGCTGTTGTCGCTGCCCGACCCAGTACTCCACAACCACAACCCAGGCAACCAATGAAGGGAAAACTGAAAAAGAAACTCGAATCTGGAGCTGCGTCGTCAGTACCACCGAGACGAGTTGATCAGTGCGACGAGGACGGCTTTCGGAAGGTGGAAAAGAAAAAGAAGAACATCAGCCGAAACCTTAGTGGCACCGCCCTGACTGGCCCGAATCATTTATTGCGTCCAGCGGTACCGACGACGTTGTTATACGTGTCGCGTCTTCATTACTCCACCAAGTCTGCGGATATTGTGGAGTACATGCGAGTGAAGGCCAATGCAAACCTGAGGGTCGAGCGGTTGGAGTCGCGCCACAACGTGAATTTTAATTCATTTGTGGTGCGAGTACCAACTCAACGCCTGTCGACCTTCATGAGAGAAGACTTTTGGCCGAAGGGTGTCATGTACCGGCGTTTCCGAGGACGGCTACCGGACACCCACGTTGCGTCACACGTCGAAGTACATACGTGTAAATAAATAGTGTTATATGTATATTATCATGTTATATTGTATTTATGATTAGTCCGTAAGGTATTTATTTAATATTTCTGTTATTGTTTTATTATATTATTGTTATATTATATGTATGTTAGTCTGTAAGGTATGTATCTATGGGTCCTAGTTGCCTGAAATAAATAAAAAAAAAAAAAATAAAAAAAAAAATAAAAATAAAAAATTAATACACAGCCCTCACAGGCCGCTACAGCAGGCTTTAGGGCCCAGCGCAACATGCAACGTACTATACGTATGCTCGATTACCACTAACACACAGGTAATTGTTCTCCCAGAAGGAATAGAGATCGTTAAAAAAATATTTACGGCATTAGTGGACGAAAAGGTTCAGTGAGTATGAGATAATTCGGAAAACTTGGGTGGGTAAAAATGATTTAGGGGAATAATTGTCGTATGGGTATTGTTAATATCATAAAGTACCGACATCTTTGGAAAGTGCTCCGCATCAGTCTCCCAGCCAAAGTATACGTTTTCACTCAAAGTCTCGAAACAAGTGTTTTTCCACAGACTGGGCCGGGAGTAAAATAAATTCAAAATTTGAAAACAAAATTTCTGTGTCTCTGAAACTGTTGGAGATTACATTACATCTAATTTTGTCTGTAGTTATTTAATAGGGAGTAGTAGAAGTATGTACAAAATATAATTATTTATTACGTGCATTGCATTGGAATAGGAATGCAGATAAATTTAGGGTCACCAATAGTTTAACTAAAATACATATAACCTTGTGTTATTCTTCGATAAAACATAAAATACGCCGATGTTAAAGGATCTTATAACAAAGTACTGCAGTATTTTCACAAATAATTATATGAAAACCGTGACAGTAAAACATCATGATATTCAATAAATAAATACTGCAACATACATATAAACTTTACCGTACGTTCTTGTACGAATACCAATTTACAGTAAGTACAATCATCCAATAACTCTATTAGCATATCCATATACTGAATGTTCACACATCTATGTATGTACAAAATCAACAAAAAAATCGCGTACCGGCCAGCGCTTAGCTCGTATTGTCTCCTCCCCTTAAATCTAAACGCAAATATATTGCGATTCACTTTTCACGCATTTCGTAGTAGCCTTGGCACGTTTTGGCTATAAGTCGTTAAAGTTTAGAGAACCTATTAAGCGTTTAGTCGAGGTGATGGTGCTGGAATGGGCTGCATGGCGAGTTCGCAAAGAGTTAACGTGTCTAATCACAATGTGAGTAACAAAAATATGTATTACTAATCTCTGGTTACAAATATATTTAGGTAATACCTATTTTTTCGAGTACGGCTATTATTTGACTTAAAAAAAAATATTGCTTCAATAAACACTAATTTGTAATTCGCTTTTTGATGTCTCATCTAACTCCAGACCTTATTAAGTGGTAATAAATCGTTACAGGCAATTATTTTATTTTTTTAACCATTCCAAATTCTATTTTCACCACATGGTCTGTGCTTTTCACATTTAACAATCATATTATATGCAAAATAACTTATATTATTAGCAAAAAAATTTGTTAATTATAAATATTTTATTTTCGATGTTTGTCAAATACTGTTTTAATTATTAATACAAAATTCGAACACAAAGAAAAATTTCTTCGCTGTAGTAGGACTCCAAAACCTGTTAAAAACATCACGATATTTAATAAAATCAATGTTATAAATACTGTATATAACACGTATCCGAATTTAAATGTTAAAATTATTAAGTTTATAATTAATAATACCTAAATAGAATATGACTAGTCTAGGCATCTATCTAACTACCCAACTAACAAAATAAAGTCCTATAGAAATTAAATTAATGTTTTACATCCGACTTCTGGCTGTATTAGGTAGAAAATATTTATAAAAGGCGAAATTGGCGCACTTATACGATCTTTTCGTCGTGTAATGGTTAAATAAAGGTTTTCCTGACAACTAATATAGTTAATTAATGGTTGTATAATGGGTAAGAAATGACCAAAGTGTCGTACAAAGACTACAGAAATAATATTTATTCGACAAAAACGTCGTATAAAGGTTAAAAAACTGAGTATTTTATTTTATAAATGGTTTAGCGTAACATTTACAAACCATTTAGTTGATTTTAAAGTTGAGTAAATGTTTTAAAATGTTGAATAAAGTACTTTTTCGTTGAACTTCTTCCAGTGTGAATTATTGTATAACAAATCGACTGTGAACTGGCAATCGGTACTATCTCAATTTTGACAAATTTACAGGTGACGAAAAAAATTGTTTGCGTCATTTATACAGCATCTGGTTTATTAAATAAAAAAAACGTAGTTTTTAAATATTTTTATTACACATGTATGTATGTACACTCCGTATTTTTATTTAATGAACCAGATGCTATGTTAATGATGCATACAATTTTTTTCTTCATCCTGTAAAGATGTCAAAATTGGGATAGTACCGGTTTGCAGTTCACAGTCGAAATACAAAATAAGTTGAAATGGTTTATTATTGAAATTGATATTGTATGTGTAGTTGACAGAGGCAGGTCTAAACTTCTACAGGAACTTAATTTCATTGGTATTGTATATGATAATACTTAGTTTGTTAATCTCTTTTTGTTTTTAAAGAAAATGAATTGTATTTTTAGGATACACAAATGGAGGCATTGCCATGAGAACAGAAAAAACAGAGTTTTGCATTTTATAGAAAAATTGTACTGGTGCAGAATTGCATGGGCACACCCCAGCTTAGATAAAAGTATAATATGTCATTTTGTAATTTATGATCCGAAAACCCGTCAACATAATATACTTTAATGGTCTCAAAGTACGATTTTATACATATTTTAATTTAGAATGCATCCGCTACATTCCGGTTCCTTAGAATAGATGAGCTCTGTACTACCTATACAATATTTGTACGGAACCATAACATTTCTCTTTACAGGACAGTATTAACATATAAAAAACCTTTTTACGACTGCGACGTTAAGTAAACGTTTTCATTCAGACCATTATATGATTGTCGTATAATTTAGTTGTGTAAACGTTTACTGGACTATTTATTCAGATAACTAAACTGTCAGTAAATAAAACGTCTATGCAACTGTACTGGTTAGGTATTAACCACTTTAAAACCCTTATATGACTAACAGTCGTATAAGGAGTCACTTATATGACCTGCTTGTTTGTTGGGTAATGACGAACGCATTTAGGTATTGTGTTATAACGTATTTAGTTGTTTATAATATATTTATGAACGTGACGACTTTGCCAAGTGTAAGTATATATAATTGTATTTTACAATGACAGGTTACGCTATACCTAATTATTACAGAAGGCGACTAGCGGATAAAAAGCATTTCCTTGTGTATTAAGTATATTGCTGCCGAGTTCGCTAAACTGCCAAATGTGTCGATTATTGCTGTTCGTTGGATTTATTCAGGTTCCATGGCAATTTTCTGGAAAAGGCGAGCCGGTACTTCAAGCGCTGGCTCGGCTAGACGAAGAAATAGCCAGTAGCGAGAAGTCCCACCCTGCTGCCAGGCTTGCGGTCGTTACTGCTGAGATGGATGTCATACAACAGGTTACTTTTTATACAGTTAATAACATAAACATTACAAACAGAAGTTCATAATAAAGATTCAGAATATTTGATTATTCAATGTAATAAAATAAAATTATTTTTTAGGAAATCAAGACTTTCGAGGAAGTCACAACAAGCGAACGAATAAATAAAGATACTTACGCCAAGACACTCCATCAGGTAAAAGCTTTCTTTTCATTTCCCGAACGTAGATTATTAATGTTGGTGCTACTTCATAAAAAGTTCACTCTTCTTCTATAGTCGGATTACAAATGAGAAAATTCTTCTTATAAACACGCGACTAACTGGAACAATTAATAATATAATCTTATTTTTCTTTGCTCTACGAATTTCGCAATTTGGTATGCTATACATTATTTGTTACAGTTATTCATAAGTTTGGATCTTTATCGACGACCGATGTTGGCTGCCGAAAATGAAGATTTCGTTGCGAATGTCAATAGAAAGGTGTGTATGTACTATTAAGTACATAAACATCTACTGAGGGTATCTTCACAAAGGGCAAACTCAGTTTGCTAATAATCTATTGAAAATAGGAAGAAGGTCTTGTCTTTCTAAAGGTGGCTTCCCACGGTCTGTGACATCACGTGTTGCGGCTCGCCGCGCTGATTTGAATAGGCGATCTCGCGCCACAAGCACATACTAAGTGAGCCCGCTTGCGCTCCAGCACGGGCGGAACTCTTCACACGGCGCATAGGCGCGAGCTTGCGCGGCGCGACGCGTGGTGTCACGGAAACCAGCATCACTGTTGGAGGTAATTAGTTCAACTAATTACCTTGAATAGATGATGCAAGGTAAATTAATAAGTATAGAATAAATATCCACCTAGGGTAAAGAACACTATTCCACCCTACTGACTCATCCAGGGTACGTCTAAGACTTGTAATAACTAGCCATCGGTGATTATGGTGTGAACCGTCCAAACTTTTACAATTATAAAATTTGTGGAGTTATACCATTGTGAGATAATGTATCTGTTAATACCTGAACAATGTTGATGTAGCAAATGCGCCAATTGGAGTTAAGCTGGCTTCGCACACGGTACGGTGAACTGCAGCGCGAGCGTCGAGTGTTGCACGCGCAGATGTTGCGCACGCGCTCCCTGTACACTCAATTGCAACAGTTACTCGGTAAATTGAAACACTACAGTTAGAAATTCTTTCTGTACGTATGTATTCCGTTACAAAGAAGTTAAAAATAATAAAACCCTCAGATCGAATTTGGGGTAGTGCACCTCGTCCAGGAACGCCCACTGAGGGCGCTCTCACCCGCGCAGGAGCGCTTCGCGACGCACTGGCTTCAGTAAGTGCGAAATTACGTGCCGCTGCGGTATATGCACACGCTGCAGCCCGACTTGTTGATGATGCACTACCTGCGTGGAAGCTTATTTCCGTTGGCAAGTAAGTGCTTTAGCATGAACAATACGAGAGTACTCGGCCATTGTGACACACGGTCGAACCAATTTTTCGACGACGACGTAGCGATTTCTACGTTCAGCAGGAAAGATAATAATAAATCATAATATACCTTTGTAAAAGAAAAAAATGTATGATTCTGCAATGAGATCTGACACCACGCTTTTCAATCTTTTTGGATATAAGACTTCAAAGAACTAAAAATGCATCGATTTCAACGTAAACAAATAAAATTTAAAAAAAATCACCTGTTTATCATCTTGTACATTTGTTTACAATAGAAGCGGCTGGGAGCGCACGGCAGCGTGTGCGGACGCCTGTCAACTACTTGTGCGCGCTCGCTGTGTAGAGCGGGGCGCTCGACGCGTGCTATCCGCGCCTGCGGCTCCCCGTGCCGCGCGAACTCTACGTCTCGCGCTCGACTACGCGTTCACCGACGCCATGCACGACCACAAGTTAGCAAAACCTACTAACATTATGTGATCTGTGTGTGTGAGGGGTAGAGTCATTTGGGATAACTGAGCGCAGTGGGCAAGTGTGCGCAGGAGCTATATCTCTGGAACGTGGTTTGTTTGGGTCAAATCAAGGCGCTTGAGTGACTCATTAGTTCCGATTTGGCACATGGACGTGTGGTCATTTGTTAGCCTTTTTAAGCAAAAATCTGTTTTTGCTGTTTACATCTATAGGTTTTTGTATTTCAGAGTAGCACTTGTATTTTTTATCTCATAACAGTGAGTTGTTTTTTTTTTCAAGTATGAACAGATTTACGCTATATTTCTTTAAAAAGATTCAGGTTATATTCGATTCGAAATATTTTGCGATCATTCATTTGCAATTCAGTGCTCTAGGGAAAAGGTACGCATGCGTACCCTTACCCCGTCTGGAATATTTTCGTTCATTCATTTGTACAATATTTTGAACAGTCTTTTATTTTATATTTCGGTGCCTAATCGTCATGCCATTGAATTATATAAGAAAAAACCAAAACTTACACTAGTTTCTAAGTTGATAATTTGTTAAAAAGATATATTTTCTTTCTATTTATTCAATGGCACTTTTTGAGTGTTTTTTGTAAACGCTGTTTTCTTTTGGTTTTAAGGTCTTAAACATACAAATAAGTTCAAGCCATGTCAATAATTATAAAATCACAGAAATATTTAAGTTAAATACAACAAAAAAAGGATATTTTAGGTCACACGAATGAGATTGCAGTAACACGAATGATTTTCTCATAAACATAAATGAGAAAGACGGCACAGTAATGAGAAATTATTATTACAACACACATTTTATCGTTCACAAAAGAACATTTAACATCATTTAACATGTAACAAATATTTTAATATAACTTGTATCAAAATTCTTCTCATCCGTGTAAGACCATCTATCTATCTATATGTAATTAATAAATAAATCTAAAGAATTATTTTGTTAATGTCATATAAACTTTGTTGTACATCAATATATTATCATCACCATCATCAACATCATCATCATGATCACCATTATCATCAGCATCATTACCATTCACATCATCATCACAATCATCGTCATCATCACTACACTCATCATCGTCATTATCACCACCATCATCATCGTCACCACCGTCATCACCACCACTATCAATACCTAATTGTTATATGTCAAGTAAATGTTTGGTTTAAAGTAACTATTTGACTTAAAAGTAGATAAGAATGAGAGCGACAATATTTGGATACAGTTTTAATTGTCAAGTGTGTAAAATATGCTGGACCATTGTAAAAGAGCATGGAATCAAAATTCCCTTTGTCTGATTGATGTACAATAAAGTTTATAAAACTATCACTTAATATTTATTTAGATAGATTGCTTTACATGAATGAGAACGATTTAGTATTATATAGAGTTTAGTGAGATGCACAGGTTACTTCACTGTGTTCACTGAGCCCCTTCTCACGTGTGCGAAGGGTGAAGGTGATGCGGTATGAATTTTTGTTATTAGGAGGCTTTTAGTTGAAGTGACACTAGTGATAAGAAAAATTGAGATTCATTTTGTTTTTCCAAGAAACTCATTTTGTTTTTTTTGTTAAAATTAGGGCGACGTGGAACTGGCTCCCATATATGAGAAATTGCCACTTTTTTAATTTTTATTTATTACTGTGACGTAGTAAAGTAGTCTTTTTATGTGTAACACAGACTAAGTAAGCAAGCAATCATATTAAATAAATAATGCTTAGCATTCATGTAATAACATAAAAGTTATTGAAAGGGTCACATTTTTGGAGGTTATCTGAAAACGACCCTTATAATAATTCATCATTTTTAATATTTTCATGTTACATATTGTAATATATTTAGGTTTATTAATAAACAATACTTTTTTTATTACTATTATATTTCTTGTGATCGTGAGCAAGCAATGCACTTACATACACCATGTGCATCTACTTACCCCATAAGGGTGCGCACACTTTCCCGCCATGCGGATCCAGTGAATACATTTCGATTTTAGATCGTCTAAGTTCATATCTAACTCTTATATTTTATGCACAGTATGTAAGCCCTAAATTACATAAGTGCGCACGCTTGACCCCAATGACTCTTTAAAAAATATGTAAGCAGATAAATTATAAATTGTCGCCCCTAAAAGCCTAAATACCTTGACTGATTTCGTTCAATAATAATAAGTGTCCAATATAATAACGCATTCAGGTTGCTGACGGGGCTGTCGTGGAGGTGTTGTGCATCGGGAATGTTTGCCGAGCCTCAGACAGATGGTTTCATGGCCATCATGAGGAAAAAGTGTCCATCTGCGCTGATGCACCTCTGCGGGGGCTCCAACAGCATCCTGTGTGTGTTCACAGATCGGTGGGACTCGCCACTCCTACGGAGATAGATTGAGGGCCATACCGTCATTTAATTGTATAGCTGTATTGTCCCTATAAATTAAATAATACTAATACTAGATCATAAGTTATTTTGTTTACTAACACTATATAGATTTTTACCTGAAATAAATGTTTTCAATTGAATTGAATATTCAATAAGATAGATAGATGCACTTGGCAAGTATGATTTGTTCGGCTATTTTACTTTTAATGTTTTCACATTAAGTCATTTTGTGTTTTCTAAATTTTGCATATATGTTACTTAGGTACCAACGCGCGACAGAAGTCTTTGTGCAATTCAAGGAAGCTCTTGTACAACTAATCAGTTCGATTCATCAGGTAAGTAAGAATGTTGTTGAGTTACTTAAATAAATAGTTACATTTTAAACTTTGTACAAAAGTATGTTTAGTATTCGGATGGTATTCGGTGACATAGAGCAACGCACTGACCGTGACACATTACACGAACCAAGTCGAGCTGCTTGAGACTCTCAATATCTCAATCTTCAAAAAAAGAATTATTTCCCTCCAATTATTCAGATTATTAAATTTATAAAAGCTCAAATAGACCTCAAGATATTGAAGTCTAAACGCTATAGAGGTGATTAGAAACCTGAACCACTTCCAATTGACTTTGAAATCACAAGTTTGGAGATTCATTGAATATATTTAAACGAGAGACATTCAGAATACAAGTAACTGCGAGCCGTAAGTAACGAAATTAATGGTTAACTACAAAATCTTTGTTTTATTTGTCAATCGTGTCATTTATTTTTAATTTATGACACATACTTTTAAGGTCGTGATAAAATTTTTAACTTTGTTATTATTATAAAGTGGTGTCTGAATAATTACCAAGTATTTACCTAAATCAAATAAATGATCTACGAATATACTACGCCTAGAGAAAATATTTTTTCTTTAGTACATTTACGTTCTATGTACCAATGATCGCCTGCAACTAAATTCTTGAAAGTCGATCGTTAGATCTACACGCCGCATGAACTTTTTCAAACTCTTTTCGGCTGATCTTCAAAATCATCAAAGCAGCGGTAGTCCTCAGAAAAGTACCTTCTATTTTAATATTTATTTATATATTTTTTATGAAAGTACTCGACTAAATTGTTGTCATAATTGAAATAAAGATCTCTTGTCAGCCGCTGGTAGCTGTAAAGCTGGCTAAAAAGGCCTGAGTGAAAATAAACTTTTATAGCTTTCTAACAGATGGCGCTACGGCAAAAACGGTCAAAACTAAAAACAAAGATCTGCAGGAAGCACATATACAAATTCGTAAGGTCTTCTGATTCGCTTCGAAACTGATTTTGTAGAGCCATAATTCGTGGCGAAAACGTCATTGGCTCTATACCAAACATTTAGGAGAAATTTTTCTTTGAATTGATTTGATCGTATCAATTATAACCTTCTATTTTAGTTACATTAATAAAGTTTGGTCATAAAAATCTCTTTGAAATGAAAATGACATGGAATCTTATCGTCATTATCTTTTTAGTCATCTTGTATTTATGACACCAATAATAATTAGTAGTTGTCTTGCTTCCAAGTAAAATATTGTATCTTCTTAGTTGAAATACTGTTCCAATCAATTAACATATTCCTAACGCAACTTAACTTTATTTTCGTTTGATGAAAATTATTATGCTTAAAGCCAGCAATAAATTATTAAAATGTCTAAATGTCGTCAGGAAAATTCAGAGTCGCTCCATAAAAGATAAAGTATCATTAATGATAAATGGCAAAACTGTGTCGGTGCCTAGATATTACTCTATAATTCAAGCTTTACGAGATAACAACGTGACCGTGCCATCGTTCTGTTACCATGAACGGCTAACGATTGCTGGTAACTGCCGTATGTGTCTTGTCGAGATAGAAGGATGGCCGAAGCTGCAGATTGCCTGTGCTACGCCTGTTGCCAAGAACATGCGAATACGGACCAATTCCGAATTCGTTCTAAGAGCCCAGGAATCAGTATTGGAATTCATTCTCGCAGACCATCCGCTTGACTGCCCCATTTGTGACCAAGGCGGAGAATGTGACTTACAAGATTTATCATACAAATTTGGAAGTGATCGTTCTCGATTTACTGAAATTCATTTTCACGGGAAACGAGCCGTGGAGAGTAAAAATCTAGGACCTCTCATACGCACTGAAATGAATCGTTGCATACATTGCACCAGATGTATAAGGTTTGGAGCACAAATTTGCGGTGTAGAAGTGTTGGGCACTACTGGACGGGGGCACGGCATGCTCGTCGGCACTTACGTAGACAAAATGTTTCTATCTGAGCTTTCAGGCAATATTATCGATTTATGTCCTGTCGGTTCACTAACTTCAAAACCTTATATGTTCAAGGCTAGACCATGGGAACTTAAAAGAACAAATTCCATAGATGTCACTGATGCTACAGGAACTAACATAGTTGCATGTTCTAGGTTTGATAGGGTGCTTCGAATGCTGCCTCGAGAGAACGATGAAATTAATCAAGAATGGCTTTCAGATAAGGGTCGGTTTGCAATAGATTCCTTGGAGATGCAGAGGTTGGTTACGCCCATGGCAAACATAGGAGGTGGGTGTTTGAGCCCTGTAGACTGGGATTGGGCTATGAAATCAGCAGCGGCAATGATATGCCCAACGCCTCCTTCAAACATCATGGCGGTAGCTGGTCCGCATACGACTGCCGAAACTTTGGTCGTCGCCAAAGATTTGTTAAATGCTTTGGGTTCAGAAGAAACATACATAGAAAGAAATATTTGTTTGCCAAGTGGAATCGATATTAGAGCTGGTTATTTAATGTCAATAAGCATGCAAGATGTTGCAAAGGCCGATAAGATTATTCTCATAGGCACGAATCCTCGTTTTGAAGCTCCAATTTTAAATATGTGGATCCGGCAAGCATACACAACTAATGAGTGTGACATCTATATCATAGGCCCCAAATGTGAATATAACTATCATGTAGATTACTTGGGCTCGGATTTGTCTGCGCTTAATAATATTAATGACATTTTAGAAAAGGCTAAAAAGCCTTTAATTTTTATTGGCGTATCGCAGTTGGGAGATGTTCAAATCGCCCCTATTTTGATGGGACTATATGAAAGTACTGCTAGGTTTAGAAAGAAGGAGTGTATTGTAAATGTTATACCGAGAGAGGCAAGTTACGCTGCTGCTTTAGAAGCTGGATGGCGGCCAGGTGGGATTGAAAGATTGAAAGCGTGTTCACCAGATGTTTTGATAGTATTGGGAGCCGACGAGCTGTTTTATAAGTGGTGTCCTCCTCCTACATGTACAATTATTTACATAGGCTTTCAAGGAGATAAAGGTAGTCAGTACAGCACTCTCATCATGCCCGGGTCCGCTTACACTGAATCTGGAGGAACATATTTAAACATGGAAGGGCGCGCACAGGTTGCACAGCCGGCTGTTACTCCACCCGGACTTGCCCGCTACGATTGGAAAATTATTCGTGCTTTAGCTGAATACCTTGGAATATGTTTATGGTATGACGATACAAGTACACTGCAATCTAGAATGGAGCAAATCAGCCCTAACTTTGTAAAGCTAAATGAGTATCAACCAAAAATATTATTAGAATCACTGGAACGAATGGCTTCTAAGAGCGCACATACCACTTATTCTGGATGTGTAGACGTTGAACTGAAAACATTAAGAAATTACTATTGCTCTGACGTGTTCACTTACAACTCGCCAACTATGGTACGGACTTGGAAAGCTGCGTGTGAATATCTGCAAAAATCTTATGCTGAAAATTAGCTTTGTAATTTTTATATTTTAAATTCGTTTGGGACATACTTATTTTAAAATAAATTTGTTTTAGGATGTATCCATTAAATAATTGTGGTTGTTTTTTTTAATTATTTTATTTTGTAATGGTAACAAGCATTTTGATGAAAGGTGCTGCTGAACAATCTTGAGAACTTGGCGGTAGCTGAGAAAGACGTGACGAAGTGCCGGCGGGAGCTGCGTGCGGCGCGGGTCAACGGGATCATGCAACAGGGACTCGCCGGGTTGCGCTACGAATCGCGTGTGCTCACTAGTCTCAAAAGTGTCACATTTACATAGAATGGTTATAGAGGTTGTAGTAACGTTACCAGTCAACACTAAAAAAAAACTTACAATCTTTTTAAACCTGATTACATTGAGTGTTAATAGTCTGTATCCGGGCTTTGAGTTTACCTACAGATAATAATGTTGACAAAAGTCCAATAAATCTCAATAGCGCCTTTGCCTACTGCGTCCGATCCGTATCCGTTTCGGATCCGAGAAAATCTAGAAAACTTGGACCGACAGAGGATGTCGTTTGTGCACTAAGTCCCATACGAATCCGAGAAAATACCCCTCATTCCCACTAGTACCACCGACAAGTACCCCTGTGGTACTAGGGACATTTTATTCCTCACTAGTACCACCACCTGAAATGATAATTCACGGTAGTACTAGTGACAAATTTATGTAACACTAGTTTTTGTGAAAATACGATTATCGCTTGTACACCTTGAGATTATCACTAACTATTTGTCCTTTCCATCTCCGTCAACTTTGACAGTGTTAGTACATATGAAGACGCAGAAAAAATCAAAAGTTTTGAATACAATTTTCCTGCCTGTACCTGCTGAACTGACTTTTCAGGCAATTTTTATTTATTTATAAAAGTGATTACTGAATAATTACTTCAGTCCGCGAAAATAATGTTCCGAACTAAAGGTATTTTCGAGTTCGGAAGACAGAATTCGGATTCAGTACACAATCCATCATATAAATAATGCTACGACTATTTCGGACTGTTATTTTTCGGATTCGCGACGACACGGATCGCACGTAGTGCGCAAACGCTTTTACCGTCATTTACCAACCACTAAAAGTCGAAGATAAAATTATTTCATTGTATGAAATCAGAATTAAAATTAGCTTTCTAATAACTAAGTGAAATAAAAAGATACAAGTTTCAAAAATGGTTGTTTTTGCGTCCGGGCAGCGAGCTTTGAAAAGCGATCGCGATACTTTTTGGTCATAACATGAGTCTGAAATAAAATAATATAAAAACTGAGATAAAACGAGTGCAACATTTTTTCACACGTTAGTGTTCATGTTTGTTAACATTGCAATGTTAACATGAACACTAACATGTTAACAAACATGTGGGTAAGCGATACACGCTTCATCTTTTAGAGCTCATTGCTCTATCTATCATAAAAAATAATATGAAAGAGTCAATCGGCGTCTCTTTTTAGTTTAGCGTTTCAATTTGTGTACCTGTAAGTTATCTAAGATCGATGACGTAATAAGCGAATGTATAAGAGTATCTTTGAGAGATAAGTTTAAGGAAATTAACATTCTTACACTAGCGTCACAGTACATTTATAAAAATGTAATTTATGTTAAGAAGAATAGTAATTTCTTTATGAAAAATAGTAACAGACATAACATTAATACGAGGAATAAAAATAATAACTAGCTGTTCTTGATAGTAGTCTTCACAAAGTCACAAATTCACGTAAGGAGCAACGTATACGCTTCTATAACAAGATTCCGATTAATATACAAAATTTGCCATTCACGAGGTTTAAAGCTATGGCGAAACAAAAATTTACAAACTTCTGTGTACTTGGATGACAAAAATCCGTGGTAGTAACCCGTTTAGCTCTTGGAGGAAGTCTCGATCTTATGATGTGTGAAAAAAAAATTGTAAATGATAAATGTGTACAAATGTTTATTTACAAAGAGCAACCTCTGGAGTTTCTTGCTCATACTTCTCAGGGGAATCTGCCTTATGAATAAGCGGTAGAGTTTAAATAATGTGACGATTTCAAGTGTAAAATGCTTACCCACGAAATAAAGATTACAAGGGGTGCACTATAAGTTTCCGGAACTGGCCACTTTCATAAACAATATTTAAAAAGTAATTACAACATTTGAAAATGGAATTCTTTGGCTGTAGAATACCGTTTGTTTTGTCTGCCTGTCATTTGTTTTTACATTATGACGTCATTTTAGAAATTGGTTGTCTACTTCACCATGGATTTAACTCGTAAAAATTTTCATAGTATGATTTTCTACGACTTTATCTGTAATTTAACAGCTCAGCGGAGCTTCGCTCAGCTTCAAACAGTTTTTGGCGATGAAGCACCATGCAAGACGATAATTTATAGCTGGTTTGCAGAATTCAAACGCGATCGTGTGAATCTCAGTGACGAATTTCGTGATGGTCGCCCGTCCAATGCTGCGAACAACAAAAACACCGATGCTGTGAGCGGTATGATCAAAACAGACAGGCATGTGACAAACCATGAGATTCGGGCATCTTTAGGCATAGATAGGCATGAGTTAAATACAATCATTAGAGTAACCTGGTTTAAGACGACGCACTTAAGGTTTGAGACCGTGTAGAATGAAAACAAAAAGTGTTAGAAAATCACCTATTGTTTTATTTGTAGTCTACTTTATCTGACTTACATACTAACGTGAAAAGTAGTTATATTTAATAGTGTGGTTGTAATTGATAAAATGTGCGTCGGCAAGAGTACGCAACACCTTTTTTGATAGGATTTCGTTTATCAGTTGCAAGAATCACCTCCATACCTTTCTGGTAATGTGATTTTTGTCACGGTATGTCCATACATACCGTGACAAAAGGCCCATGCCTTTGGCTCATGGAGAGCTGAGATGAGTCTACTTGTGGCACGGACATACCTCAGTTAGAGTGGTGGTGGTGCTTCAGGCGCACTTGCAGCCGATATTTCAGACACATTCGGAGCACATGTCTCAGGTCTATTAAACCTTTAAAAATAATAGACTCTCGCAAATGTTTCCGTTGATTTAGAACGAGGCATAAATTTTATTCAGAAGTACACTATTCTAAAAAATTGGTATGAGACTACGCGCGTACTCTTCCAACACGTCGAGTTGCGTGCTCTTGCGCACTTCAGCCATTCCAGAATAAAACTGCTACTAATCCAATATGTTGCAAGTGACCAAAATCGTTTGCAGTTTGACCTCTAGACGAGTTTTTGGGCGATTTCATACAAAGTCAATGTAAAAGAATATGCTTAGTTTAGTCTCAGTAACAATTTGAAAATACCAAATAGTTCTAGTAGGTACATCAAAATGTTCACACTTAGGTAGTTTCTTGGTTTTCAATAACTTTTGATAATTTTTCCGCAAAACAATCTTCCTAGCACTACAAAATGACACTGAACTTAGTTGCTTAATGTAAATAACTTCTCGGTAATCTACATTGCGTGCTCTTATCGGATGCGACATCTTAGACGAAGCTACCCTACTCATCATGTCAAATTCAAAGTAAATAAATAAATAAAATAAATAAATTCCTACACAAACATTTGGGTGTGAAAAAGCTGTGCTCTCCGTGGAGCCCACACAATTTGACTGAGGCTCAAAAATGGATCGCGTCTCTTGGTGCCAGATTCAACGAAGGGGCGTCAAATTTGGTGTGAGACATTGTAGTAGGTGACAAAACATGGATTTATAGTTACGATCCCAAAAACAAAGCAGCAATCGAGCGTATGGGTCTTTCGAGATGAGCCGAAACAAATCAAAGTGGCGCGCGTGCAAAGTGTCTCTAAGCGGATGATTGCTTCTTTTTTTAATAAAACTGGACACGTGGCTACTGTTGCTTTGGAAAATCGTTGTACCGTGAATAGTGATTGGTATACGACTATTTGTTTACCGGAAATTATTGACAAACTCTGTAAAAATAACCGTAAACGCCGTATCATCTTGCACCACGATAATGCCAGTTCTGACACGGCCAGACAGACAAATGAATTTTTGAAGGTGAACAACGTTGACCTTATGAGCCATCCTGCGTACAGTCCCGACCTGGCACCTTGTGACTTTTATTTATTTCCAAAAATTAAGACGCGGTCAACGATTTTCATTACCTGAAGAGACTGTCGAAGAGTATGAAAAATATGTATGTTTCAGAGATTGTCACGGAGGAGTGGCATAAATATTTTCAAAATTGGTTCATTCATATGAAAAAGTGCATTAACGCTAGCGGATAATATTTTGAGAAACAAATTCATTTCTGACCATTTATAGTATTTTCTTATTCATTCCGGAAACTTATAGTGCGCCCCACGTAATTTGATTTGATATTATGGGCTCCAGAGTCCGGACCTATAATGTCTTTAAATATTCGTAGAGGTAATGTAGGACACAGAGTCTTCCGAATCTATTGCTACCGTGTTCCATTCTTAGAGGATGGAAAAAATAAAGGAAGTTCCATTGGTGTTTACTCGTTTGAAAAAGTTTATTTACTTCCTTTTTGATCTTCAAGCAACTTTACCTACATCTCAAAAAGCGCTAGACGTCCGGGCAATCTCTTCGGACACATCACCGGGTTTTATGGCAGCCATTATCACACAAAGCCGTCAACTATTTTTTCAGATGTTTCATTAATGTTTAGACATGTGCGAAATTTCGAAACTGTCCATAGAAGGAAGAAAAAGTTAAATAATATTACATCGCTCAAATCACAAATGACATATGTAATAAGCGTTATCACACAGGATGTCGTAGGAGACCAAATGAAAGGCACTGGACAGGTCCAAGAAACACGCGTATACTGACGTCTTTTTATTAGTATAGTACCCGACAGCATGCTTCAATGTCACAATAGCAATTTCAGTGGATAACCCTGTCTGAAAACCAAACTGCGATTCGTGCAGTTGCAAATGTTTTTCTAAGTGTGAATTGAGCACACTGTCAAATATCTTGGCCACTATAGTAGCAAGAGAGATTGGCCTATAGTTAGACCTGTCCGACACGTCACCCGTCCTGTTCTTAGCTATTGGTACCACAATCGATCTAAGTGTGTGTAATATTTGTATTAATAACTAAAATGATTTATTTTTAAAATTTTCTTTTCTTCTCCTATTCCAATGTAACCTATTGGGTATTAACTTCACACAGAAGAATGTTCGATTTGTTGTAATAAAACACTGTTTTATAAAAACACAATCAAATTTTATTAAATATCAAATATTGTATTGTCTAACACGACTCCTTAACTATCATGTTTCACATCAATATCTGTTAATGGCATATGATAATACGGTTACAATACATTTGTAAGGACTAAGACAGATAAATGGATAGCGCATAGAATTGTTAAACGTAAATAAGTATGTTAAAGGTAGAAAACTAATATATTAGTTACTTAACAAAATATTGTCATGCGATGAAGGAACGAGAAGTAGCGAATCACATCCGTAATAATTTAACGTTATAAATAGATAACTAAAATGTAGGTACTTAATAAATGGGTAAATACAATTATGAACGATGAGCCATAACTTATAATAATCTCAGAACAGAGTCCTAAACAACCGACCTTAAAAGGCATTCATCCCCTAGTTTATCACTTCTAAAGGTGGAATATTTTCTTCAAATTTACTATAAATAATACATACAAAATAAAGAACAGCCGGATTGAGAACATCCTCCTTTTTTTTGAAGTCGGTTAATAATAGGGTATTCATAGTGTATTAGGATATTAATTGATAAATCTGCTTTATGATCGAAAAAGTTAGAAGAAACAATGAAATTATGAAATTGAAGAATAGAAATCTCATTACATTTGAAAGAAGTTGAGAAGAACACACTCACATTATAAGTTATTATAAATACTTGTCACGATACATGCGCTTAAATGCAAAATCTACAAAAAAGTGTTATACACGATTATTATTTCAAAATGGTATGATCAGTTATGATACGTCTTACATTCTACATTAGGTAGGTCTATTTGTGCGCCAAAGCTCTACATGGATGATACAATAAGCGGTCGGGGTCCTATCTTCAACAAGAGACATTATCTTTGTGTTTAGTGATGAGACGATGTGATCAGATTGAGAAAATATTTATAATGTGTAAAACAAAATATACTTTACAAACAACGGGTTTTTAGAACACCTTTTGTCTATAGCTTCAGGCTTTAGTTCCTTGGTGAAGATAGTTTTGTGACCGTCCGGTCACTCTTTACACGACTCTAAATTCACTGATATGTGGCATGATGTGTCACGTCTTTATTGGTCTAGTGCGCGCGCCGCTCTGTATTGTAGGTACAATACAAGGAAACAGCAGTTCTTTTCTCCACATCCATACTTAAATCGATTTTTAAAAATGTTCAAACTTACGTACATATTCAACTTAAAATCTGAATATTTTGTTGTAAAAGTTACACATCAAATATATAGGTTCATAAAGACACGTTCAATTCTGCCTATTAAACTAAAGTAATAAGTTTACTTATAATAACTTAATAAAAAGCATTGACTTACAAATAAATGGACGACGGGTCTAATACAAAAACCACGAAAAAAATGTCCCAAGTCAACCTATTTAAACGTAGTGACATGTCAAGGAATATGAAAAAGCTAAAACGTTGAATTTAAATTGTAATGTCATCGCAGTACTGTCTAATTTTGCTTGCTTCGCTGTCAGTCGAACAAACGAAGACTAGAGCGTGAATGACGCTCTGTATACAATTTTAACGCCCTGTAAATTCGGACACTTTTTAGCGCGGACCCGACGTCCATATAATTGTACGTCAATGATAAAAAGAGATCAATTCTTGTTTTAGAGTCTGTCGATATTTTATGTCTAAGTCCAGGACAATAGCAAACATAGAAGCCTATCAAAATGGACGGCTCTTGTTAATTCATGTCGCTACGTCACGATCAAAGTTTGTAGGTAAATTAAACAGCATCGGAGAAAAAACAATTATTTACTACAAATATTTATAAGTAAAATATTCGCACTGCTGACCGTATAGAGTTGATCTTGCTAAAGTGGTAAATTGGTTAAGTTTCGAGAGGCACCTACTGCCGAACATCATCTACGGATGAAGCTACATGAGTAGCTACGCTAGACATGAATATTGTCAATCAAAAAGCGCGACTGTCTGAACTACGATCGACGAACACGCGGAAATGTAAAAACCATCTAAATTAGCGTAAATACGTCGTAAAAACGTGGAAGCACTCCTGCGGACAGACTGTTTGCTGGCTATATACTTGTTACTATAAATATCCTCTAAGTTACAGGGTACAAACTGACGCTGTTAGGCAGTGTAAGTTACAAAATATAGTACTTACTTAGATTACCAAATTCTATATTTTATGTAAGTATGACCAAGGATATAAATAGTAAAAATCCGCAAATTAACAATGACATATACCCAATTCCTTGAGTGGCATGAGCAAGTAAATAAAACACTTGATGTTACACATCAGAATTTTTGGTAACAATAATAAATACCTAAATAAACAATTAACATAACATTGCTTAACAAAAACAACAACAAAGGTTTATTTAAACTAAGAATTCATTAACAAAAATGTTTTGCAAGTCGTTGAAATACAGTGGGACAACATCCATCAAGAGGTAGATTATATGGGCTCGGCTGGCGCCGAAGCATTACGAAGTGTCACAGAAGATAGTCTCCACGCTTGGTTTAAACTTTGGTTATTGTTTTCATTTTCCTGCTTCGGATGCATCTGAGCAATCCTTTGTAGACCGTGTATGCTCCGTATAAGCTGAGGATAATAGTCGCCGTCCATACTATTGCCAGTACAGAGTTGCTGCCTTCAATGTAACCATCGTGGTAATGTTCTTGTTCGGGCCAAACGCGGCGTGGACGTTCCTCCCGAGTTTCAACTGCTAGTAGGTCAGGGATTTCATCATTCTCTCCGGTGCAATTAGCCCATTCAATAGTAACATATCGTGAGGAGGTTCTACAAGAGCGGCGAGCTGATACCACAAGTTGACGAGTGCGAGAACGGGCACCGCTACGGCACGGGCCCCACGATCCCCAAGGGCCTGGCTGCCCGGCTTCGGACTCTTTACAACCACATTCTACTTCACATATTTCTTCCTCTTGGTAGTGTAGAGGCGGAGCTACGATTCTTCCGGGTAGCACTGAGGCACAACGCCAAGGTTCTAGATACGCTTCAACTGCTGGTTCATCTCCAACACTGGTCAGTTCGCAACGAGCGTGAGATATCTTCACTCCCCAGCCGCATGCTCCTTCAGCTGCTTCTCCTGACGCGGTTTGCACATGGCAGCCAAGAACAGGTCGAGCTACCAGTCGTAGACAAGGTTCCCGAGGACATGGTGCGCGCTGTTCTATAGGCGGACAAGCACGGCCAGGCCAGACAGCTGCTGTTAGGTGTTGTCTAGTTCTACGCATGTGTCTCAAGGATGACGTATCGCCACAGGAGCAAGCAGAAGTATCCCATGGATTCCACTCTCCAAGAGCACAATCGACGCCGCATGGCACGTAGCACCATGACTCACTTGCTTCCGTTGCTGTAGCTTTTGGACAGAAACTATCATTAACAAAAATACCATCGCTGCGTAAGCATCGTACTGCTCGTTTCTTTATTCCTTCTCCACACGGAGATCCTCCTAATGGTTGACAGTCATCCCAGGGTGCAACATGCCAGGAGTAAGTATGTGGCGCGCATGGCTCGGCAGCTACTAAGTGAGGACAGTTGGCACCACCATCTTCAGCTGGTCGAAGTACAACTCGCGTACGATCTCGACGTCCGCCCCATTTTGTTTGCTCACACGGACTCCAATCAGACCAAGCGCTAACGACACAATCAGCAGGGCAAGGCGCGCGACAGGTGGCCTCACGCGCAGGCGTTGGGCCTGCACCAGTTGTCTCACATTCTGCGTCTTCGAGTCGTTTTCCTTCCGTGTCCATACACGTAACAGTGCGATTAATAACAGCATGTCCGCAAAGAGCACGTCGTGGGGCGCATACAGACCATTCGCCGAGTACCCAGCGAGACTCAGGCATAGTGCATGTTGCACGTTGCAAAGTTGCACCGCATTCACGCCCACCAGCACTGCCTTCCTCAATGACTTCTCTAGTTCGGAAACGGAAGGCTGCACGTGAACCTGGCTCAGCAGCGCAAGGACCCCACTCACCCCAAGCACCAGTCGCGCAGTCACGTGCACATCGTACTGTACATGGACCTCGAAGAAGCGCCGGAAATTCTTCGTCATATGTGTAACCGTCCGTTGATGCTTCCCGGACTCGAGTCGGCCCAGTGAGAGGATGATATTTTTTACAAACATCCATCGGAACATCACGAGTTCCAATTAAACAACGCGCTGCTCTCAACGCTCTACCTTCACCACATTCAAGGCCAGATGGTAGAATACAATCTGAATCGGAAGGTAAAAGTTCTAGGGTGACGTTTTTGCTTACACATGTCGGTATGTCAGGTTCAGCTGCATCTAGGTATTTGAGAGGATTAGAGCCGATAGTATCACAAGTAAGAGACGGTAACGCGTGATCGCAGGATACATGACACGCCGCTACACTACGTGGTACTAGTTGGCCAGCACAAGCACCAACTTCCACTCTATGTGAATCAGACCCACACCAAATGCTTCTCACTCTGTAACCTCGTCCACAATGTTGTTCAGGGGGCAGACGACAGGTACTCCATTCGCCGGCAATCCAAGTAGCCTCGCGTGCGTGGCACGACCGCGGCATTGGACAATCACGAGTTTCTTGTAATGGGCCGCAGTTGGGACCTCCATGAACTTTGCGTACTCGAACTTGTTTCCCAGGTTCACAGGTATTCGGGCAAGGTGACCACGGCATCCACGCTTCAACTCGGCATCCACGGCGACATCGAACTGTACATGCGCGTTTAGACGTTGGTCGACGCAATGGTAAACATAGAACGTCGCGCACCACGTCTGCATTGTTCTGTACACACATAACATCTCTAGTCATTTCGCCTTCCTCTATACACGGTTCCTCCTCATCACTTTCATTGAAGGGCTCGTTATCCATTAAATCCGTGTAGTTGATAGCAGGCATGTAGTCAGTTCGGCGTCTCTCACAAGGTCCCCATGGTGTCGCAAGCCAAGAATATGTGGCACATGCATGGGTATTGCAGGTTTCGTTCTGAATAAGCTGTTCTTCAGAAGGACACGGCCAGCCGTCGGGGGATGCATGCGCGAGGATGTATCGTCGTCGAGTGGTGGTAGGTCGGGGATGTTGAGCGGCACAGGCAGCGGAGCATGGCGTCCAAGGGCCCCAGGCAGAGACGACGCAGTCACCTGCACATGCAATGCGACATCTCTCGTTGCGTGCCGGTGCGCCTGTACCACTACACCAAGCTCGCTGAGCTTCTTTCTGAAATGTAAAAAGTAAGCACCAGTGAGCGTATTTGTATTGTATAAATTATATAAATTAAGCAATCCTAATCGTTACAATTTTAAATCACAGAGTTACCCCATCATGTCCTATACAGCGTAGTTCTCTGGTCCTTCTACCAGGTCCGCACGTTGTATGTGGTTGATTCAGAACGCAGGGGCCCCACGGTAAAGCTTTCCACGACGCACATCGTGGTGTAGAGCATGTTCTCTTCTCTTCAAGAGGAGGGCACGGAGCGCCACCTCCTGAAGCCGCTGAAATTACACGACGACGTCGCACACTGTAGCCTGAAAAAAGCAGTTAACATAATTATAATAAAATACCCAACAAATAACATTCCTTGTGACATGAGTTCAGTGGAAATAAAAATGTTTACCAGTTGTAGTCAATTGCTGTACTGGAAAAAGAGGACATCCATCAGTAGGCTGACATGCTCCCCACTCGGACCATGGACCAACTTCACAATCTCGGGGACATGGAACCTGGATAAAAATTATTATACCATTGATTTTGGACACGCTTGTTACTACACCACATAAATAACTATAGTACAAATAATTAACAAAAGCAAAGAACAACAGGCGAACTTGTTAATAATTACAATTTCTTCCGGGACATTTTCGCATAACTCAGAAAAATAAAAATAAACTAAGCATTTCTAAAACAGAATCGCAACGGCACCGCAAACGTTTAGCGATTTTTACAGGAAGAAAGAAGAAATTAAAATAAAACAATCTATTATTTTTAACCGACTTAGTAAAAAGGAGGAGCTTCTCAATTCGACTGTATTTTTTTGTCTGTATGTTACGCGATTATTCCGACATTTGGAACCGACTCTTTTGTTGGGAACGGTTAGGGGTATCTCAGTAGTGGTCTCTTTAAATGTGTAGAAAACATTAGATTTCACTCACTTTCCGATAAGCGATTTCAATAAAACTTTTCAAATAAATGTAGTTCTACAAACTTTTAAGGTCGATTTTTTAAATTTATAATCGAAACACCGAGCGGACGCTTTAATTCTTTAATTAATATATCCTATAGTGCGAGAGACGATTCGCTCCATGAATTGGGAGTGCACCCGGGAGCAGGCGTATTATTATACTCATTAATCTGGTAATGTAGCATTTTTTTATTGGATGGTTAATATTTTAAACTCCATTGAAGATTTTCAGTACAGTATACAAAACCTGTGTAATTAATTACCTCGCAAGGTTGAACAAGCGTAGGCATAACGGCATGAGCGCACTGCGCCGGATGCAGCGTACGTCCATCTGCACGGACACATGTAGCCTCACGGCGCTGTACTCCGCCGCCACAACTCGCCTCACTAATTCCCTTATTTTCATCACTGGAGTCATCGTCATCATCGTCGTCGTAGATTGCGTCGTTTGCTTCTGCGTCGTCGTTGTCATCGTCACTTGCTGTATTTTTATTATGTTGGGCACATTACAGACCATAAGCAATTCTTATATTTAATTTGTTTATTCCAGGCGGTTCAGTAACATAATAATTTAAAAAAACCTAGTAAGTAGTGTATACGAATGAAAGAGGGGTTGATTCAGCACACATATGCTATTCTTTGCATCACCCTAAGGTTATTCTCTGTTTTTAAATTAGTATTGCATTGTATACTCCGATTAATCTTCTATACGTACCTATTAAATAATTACTAAGTACCTACCTAGGTAATTAAGTATAAATGACATCGAAGATATACAGGTCATTGTGTTCCACATATGTGTCCCAGAAGGTAGACGTTATGCAGAACGTGTTGTAGGGTTATCAAACAAATGCCATATTGTTACCTGGGATGGGTGTTGCGGGTTGCTCAACGGCGACTTTGCACACACCCCACGGACCAGGCGCCCAGTGTGCGCTGGCTTCGAGCGATGCTGGTCGCACCTCTTCTACAACGTCGCATTCTTTACCTCCTCCTATTTGAAATATACGAGTATTTCTCAAACAATAGTATCAATCGTCGTGTTTACTTAACATGACAATATCGATAGCATGTGAGTATTACATTAAATAACCTGTTATTCACAGAAAAGTTACTATAGTTATTTTCTACCTTGTGGCAGTTTCTTCAATCTCCTGGTGCGCACGAGAGCTCCATCAACTCGAGGCCTCCATGGTAGCCATTCACCTAGCGAGCAATCATCTCGCACTACACACACCCTAGTAGTTCCGATGATAGCTACAGATGTGCCGCAGTACCTGATTATTATTCAAATAACGCATGATGTACAACTCAGTAAAACGTGTAACTATCTTAAGTATCTACCTACCTTCCTAATAAACGGTCTCTGACACAAGCCTGAGCTTAGTGCAGAGGCCGCAAGTAAAAAAGCGAGATAACTAATGAATAATTACACAATTGGCTAGTTTACCAATGAACTTCAATAATTTATATCGTTTATTAATGTGTTCAGACAATAAACGATTATTATTATTATTATCTATGTTGTATTGTACGAATGATTATTACCTGAAATGTGTTGTAATAAAGTTAAGCTCCTTAGTGACAATCTCAGCACAAACAACTTTTTACAAGTTAAAAGTGAGATTGCTTATTGATGGCCTTTGCCGAGGAAGTTCTATAAATAAGACACGTAACTTTTCGCTTGACTAGACGTCGAAGTGGCAAGACTGAAGATCAATAGTCGTTGGCCATCGGTGACCCAGTTTGAGGAAAAATTAAGGATGTATGAGACATGAATCTAGATTATGTATAGTTTTAAAACTTAGACGTATATCAAATGTGACTTCTTATATTTATGAAATTATGTAGTCCATATACTTGGGAATCGGAATTTTTCAAAATTGTGTACAATTTTTAGCGGAAATGGTATACATTCCTTAATTTCTATTTGTATAATGATTATCTTGTTGCATTGTTATTAAAGACATTGCAAAAGCGCCAAAAATATGTAGAAAGTGTAAAGAATTTATGTCGTATTCTCACATAGCCTCGACGAATCGTCCGCTCTTAGCCCGGCACTGCACCTGCCGCCGTTGCAGCCCCAGCCGAGGAGTATGCACAAGTGAGTCCGTTTCCGAGCGGCCTTGGTATCTGGAGATTAACAATTTTATAATTACTCTAGTAATGGTTTTAGTTTAGGTTATGTCGTCTGGTTCATAGCTTCTGTGACTATTTCAAGTTGGATACGTAAGTTTTAAACCTTGGTAATAAATTCTAATTACATACTGATTTGGTATAGTACCCACGAAAAATTTTGGTATTTGTGGAAATATTGTAAATGATGACTTATAGTTACTTTTCTTTAGTGTTAAAAGAGCGCGTTTGCGCGCTGCATCCGATTAGAATTCGTTCCTAATCCGAGACTATACAAATCTAGAAAACTCGGACCCGCTTCGAGTATCGCTTGTGCGAAGTCCGAGTCCAATCCGAGAAAATACGAACATCACTTGTACAACTAGAGATAAAATGATCCCTGTGACATTTCGGACCGTCATTTCTCGGATTCGGAACGAATATGAATCGGTAATTGGGCAAGTAGAACCAAAAACCCATAATACCTTATTTATAAATTATAATAATACTTAAAATAGGTTGCTTTATTATGTAGGTATTTGTGCTTAAACTATTATCATAGTTTTTAGGGAAGATTTTATAATACTGCGCTATTATATTGCCCGTACTGCCTAGTCTAATAAATGTAACAGCAAGTAAAAATATGTTTTGTGTAAGTAAATGTAAGTATAAGGCCACAGTTACCTGTCCGCGAGGCTCATGGCGTGTTCAGATTTTCCTATAGGGCCACATTGCGTCCAACGGCCTACATACACGGTAAATTCGCCATCATTTGGGATGGGTTCTGTAACAAAAGATAATCAATTTTGGTATAGAAAACTTGAAAAACAATGCAATTTCGCTAGTAAGTAATTTAAAAAAAGTACGTGATCCGCTGTTCCGCGTGCTAATTTGTAAAACAAATTTATTGATCGCACAAATTAAAAACGAAGGTAACTCACAAGTTGCGACGTCGTCTCAACCCTCGCAATTTCAAACATTCAAATGTGTTTGTTTGTAAGCAGTAGAGCTCCCTGTGAAAGAGTTCGTCCAGGGAAATACTAACATCTTACCTATTTCTGCCGCCAAGCAGTAATGTTAGCATTACTGTGTTCCGGTTTTGAAGGGTTAGGATGCTGGTGAACTTACAGGCATATGGGACTTGTCAACTTAAGTCTCAGGGTGACGGGCGCAGTGGCAGTGTCCCTCAGATCTTTGCGATTTGAAGCTCTTAGTGTCACTGCAACTGTTATGGACAGGCGTATAGCTAACCATCAGGTGCACGACTTGTTCGTCCCGTCACTTGTTATTATTAAAAAAAGTGTTTAATCCCCTTTAAAGTAACAGTGCACATTAAAATTTACAAAATCCATTTCGTTATATGGAAAGTTTAAAAAACTACATTTTAAGGTCGTTCTCACTAAAACGATTCTCATCGTTATGTTCGTTGTGAATCTTTCATTACTGTTGAAAAGGCTTGGCAGTATATAAAGTACATATATTATGTCAGTCAGGCAAACGACTGATAGAATATATAGAGTCATAATTTATTTGTGACATAAAGAGTTGTTTGTCAGTACGTAGGTCATCACATCTACTGGTGAACTTAGTCGTCCCCAAAGATCGTCACAAACACTGGTCTTGCATTGCTTGTGTCCATTGGATACTCGTAATCTTTTGTCTGCATTATAGGTAATGAAATACAAATAAATAGATGCCACTATGACGATTACATATCTACTTAGATACCGACAGTTTTTATCTTACAACTGGGGGTGCACGAAAGGAGCCTCCCCGCACACCGTACCATTACTTTCTTGAGCATCTGGCCTGCCCTGGATAACACTCAGCGAATACTTTACGACGATTGGCAAATCCTTTCAACATCATCGGCTAGGGACATGGGAAAAGTATTGATACTTTTTGGTATCGAGTACTTTTCCTTTCGATAGCGATACTTTTGTACTCGATACTTTTCAGGTATTAGTACTTTTTGACAAGTGTCGTCTCGTTTGGAATAATTCCTACATGAGACACCTCATATTATAACGCAAGCCACCTTGCGTTTTCTTTTTAAATCGCAACAATCATCTCAAATGACTTGGTTGTATTATGTATGCTACCATTTGCCTCTTTATAAGAATGAGTATGAAGAAAAATAATTAGAAACATTTGAACAAACCTTGATTGAATTTAACAATTGATCGATTTAATCAATTTCTTTATTTATTGTTTGTTTCAATTAATAATCATAAATCAAATAAAAGACTGGTTTATTCCTGTGTTTTTTTTTGTCTTTAAGTAGGGAAAATTTGCTGGACACAAATATCGATACCTTGAAGTATCGATACTTTTATGAGTACGACACTTTTTATGCGATACTACTCATGAGTACAGTATCGATACCTTACAAATCACATAGTGGATTTTTTTTATAGACAACTAAAGAAAGCATACAGTAAAAATACAGTAAACAGTAAAAATGCCTTATTTTACTGTGCCCAGTCTTAACCCTAAAGTGTTCCACAAACTTACATGTGGCGTAGGTTTTCTTTTTTATGAAAATACATACCTAGTTATTTGTAGCACGATATCCGTATGAAGATGAATGACCTCCCCATGACCTAGTAGGCCTACATGCGTGAACAAATATCATAAGTTGGGAATAACAGAGTGTATTTATGAGCTTACGGAAATTGCTAAGTAAGTTGGTGCCTAGTTTTGTAAACATGAGGTCAACGTAAATATACCTTATTTGTATAGTCTATGAAGTAAGCATAATAATTTACGCGTATGGATATATTTAACTTCATTTTAAATATAGAAATTAATATTTGAAATGTTTCCAACATTGCAATTACCGGAAAGAATATAAATAACTGAACATATCATATAATGATTCAAGCTTCATATGTTTATATTATTACTTTGAATATTTGTTGTTTGTTGCATTGCATCCTCCACCTGAGTTAATTTACTTAGGAGTTAATGTTCATGTTAACCATATGATACAATACTCATGTTGCACAAAAGACCAACATGTATAACTAAACAAAAGACAGGGTGCCATAGACATAGGCTGCCGTATTTGTATAACAGGCAGATCAATTGGGGTAACAGGAGGAATTTAAAAATAATAACAATTTGAAGTGTAATTATAGCAGCAGTGGGAGAGTTCGTCCAAAGAAGTACTGCCACCTTACCTATTTCTGTCGCCAAGTAGTACTGCGTTCCAGTTTTGAAGAGTAAGTGTGCTGTTGAAATTACAGGCACGTGGGCTTGTCAACTTACTCACTACAACAACTGTCTCAGGGCGCAGTGGCAGTGACCCTCAGATCTTTCTGAATTAAAGCTCTGAGTAGCACTGTAACTGCAAGTGACGTGTCTCTTACCACCAGGTGCACGACTTGTTCGTCCCGTCACCTGGTGTCATTAAAAAAATACAGCTTTCGTGGTTATTGACTATTAATAATTACTGTTTTCTTAGAATTATTAATACAAAGATCGAACACTTAGATAATATCAGTACAGAGTACTAAAAAAACCGACCTCAAAAGTACGTGGAATCACATCTATTTGCCAAGTTTTATTGAAATCGGTTACCGGAAAGTGCGCAAACCCGGATTCATCCCCTAATTCGCCACTATACGGAATTTGACACAGGAGATAATAAAAATCGGTTCTCACTGTAAGTCAATGTTCTCACTACTCAAAGTCCATTAAGAGAAAAACGCCTTGAATTGGAGAATAGAAAATAATAAAATTATATAATAAATTTTATCATTTAGGCGCTATTTATAAAAATGAATCTTTTTCCGCGAACAGCCACACTTAGAGGGGGATGATTGTGTTCAAAATTAAATGGGACCACTATGGAGGTACCCTCTTTCGAACAGAATCGAATTGAGAACCTCCTCCTTTTTTTGAAGTCGGTTAAAAAATCCTTCGATCTGGTCGGATTCGAACCGACGTCTCCTAGCAAACCGTGCCAGACGCAATGCCCACTAAGGCATGGAACGAACCAGCGGACCTCAAGAATTTTTCTACGCTTGCTGTCGGAGCATTGTATTTGGTTTTCAACTTTTTAGCCGTAGCACCATTTATGAGAAATATAAGAAAGTTTACGTCGCCGCGTTAGGTACCTTTACAGCTACCAGCCCTAGCCAAAGATGTCGGCTATTAAATGTAACTAAATTTTTATTAAATATCAGAATGTTAACTATCTTGATATTAATTTTTTTTTGTGAATTTCTCCACTAGTCTGATAGAATTATTAATATAAAGATCAACAAAAGTAAAAAAAAATCCAAAGATCGTTACTTCTTTCTAAAGAAATATCTTTGTATTAATAATTGTATCAAACTAGTGGAGTGATTTCACAAAAAAATAATTGAATATCATGGCGGTTAAACATTCTGTCTTTCAACAAATATTTAATTACGGTTTTCTTACCACGATATGAGTTCTTTTTATTTTCCCGATATTTCAGAACGGTTACACGTTCCATGGTCACGGGTTGACAAATCGTGGTAAGTAGTGGTGATTAGTAATAATAACAGATAGAACGTTTATTAAATGCACTACACAGCATACTAAACTACATTTAATGAACAATACTTATAATTCTTACAGAGTCCATAGATAGTAATAGAGACATTAGTAATTACCGCATTATTAATGTATTTCTGGCTATTGTACAATTTGTACGTCACATTCAGTAATTTACATCGGCTTTCGTGTGGTCAGCTCATAAATACGACGACCTTATGTTTGCTTCTACTTTATTTAGGTCTTTATAGTACCCGACCGCAGAATTACTACCCATTTTTATGGCTTGTTCTAATATCATTGTGGTAAATTAAGCGACATCAAATTAAGTGACTGTATTAGATGTTGACAATAATGTACACCCCTCATTCTGTAATTGTTATTTTCTTTAAATATAGTTTAATATATAGTACGATTGTTTTTAAAATAGAATGAAAAGGATTTAATGAATGAACCGTGTGTGGTATATAAATCTCTTTCATAGTTGAAGTCTTCTTGTCAGTGCCAAATAATGTATTAAATATAGTATCTCAAATTTTAAAAGTAAGATTAAACCAATATTTCTCTTGGTTTTTGTCTTTCATGTATCACCGAGTCGGACAATGTAAGGGATTTTAGAAAAATAAAATTGTTATTTCTTAAAGAACATTGACTGACACGATTGATTTAAAGATATTTAAGTGGCCGAAAGGAATACTTAACGACAGCGTAGTAGGTATGGTATAATATGTAAGCATGAAAACTCAGGGCATTCTTGTTGTGAGGTTGCATGTGATGATTATAATTAATATATTATATTGTTAATAGTGCTTTGTATCTAACCCTAGGTAGCAATTAAAGTCATCACCATCATCAACCCTCTCAGTCGAGTGTTTAGGCCATAGTCAGCTGGCCCAATGCGGGTTGGAGCTTTACATGTTTTCCGAGGGTTGTAAACCTTTTGCGACGTGCAGGTTTTCCTTTACCGAAAAGCTGTTGGTAAATTTTAAGTTAAATTTCGCACATAAATTCCATAAAACACTCAGAGGTGTGAGTCCGGATTTGAATCCAGGGCCTTTGTTTGAGAGGCGGTAGGCGATTAGGCTACTACGACGACTATTTAATGTTACATTAAAATGTTGTAAAAACCACTATTACAAACTTAGAATAAAATTCGTGTACTTCAAAAAGTGAATAAACTCATCATATCGTCGAAACAAATTTAACGAACCCAAATATACTGTAAGTATTTGAAAAGTAGGATACTATGCAGATTGC